GGATCTCTCCCCAGCCCACGGGGTAGGTTTGCACCACAGCTGTGGTGCGAGAGCAAGGCTGTACCAGTCCCTCATCACGGTGACGAGGGGTGGGCAGGCATTGCCGATGGGGGAAATCAGCAATGCTAGCGCCGAGCAATGGCCAGTCACTGCACCTCCCCCTACCCGCCCCCAACCCCACATGGCGGTGTCTAATGGCCAATATTGTCGCTGCATAGCAGTCAACAACATCAGCCAAGGTCCTGCCAACGCTGGCTTGGGGGGCCAACGGGTTATCTCTAGCTGGTAGAACACCAAGCTTGCCCAGGCACGTACGTGAGGCCAATGGGGATTGAACCCACGACCTCCTGAATGCAACTTCTGTGCCTTACCAACTGAGCTAGGCCCACAGACCTATACACACCAGATTTTGAATCCCGATGATGATGGAACTTGATGAGTGAAGTTGTAAAACCAACTAGCTCGAAGTTCGCTGGAATTGTCACGCAGTCAGACATCACGCTCGTCCGATGTATGTGTATTAGTGTCTACGGTGTGTGACTGTCAGCCATCGTGGATTTGGCAGGAAAAACCCGGGAAAAGGATGTTTTCGTTTGCTCGCCCATTGGTAGGTTTTTCTCTTGTTTTTGTTTTTGTTTTTGGGGTGCTGTGGCTGTCCCAAACGTGCGTGAAATCACAACCCAGTTTTTTGGTTCGTGAAATCACAGACTCACGGCGAAGGCAAAGACTATCGGTGGAATTTTTTATTTTCTTGTTACGATCCTGGCCAAATTCGAAGTATACATTCATCTGAAAGTACAATGCCATCCAATTGCAAAAAGAAATGAATGAACTTGAGAGGAAAGAGAGGGAAAGAAGAAGAAGAAGAAGTGAGAAAGAAGAAGAAGAAGAAGTGAGAAAGAAAAGATGATGATGTACTCCAGCATAGACCAATGTCAAGGCTCTTCTTCTTCGCCAACCAATCCCTTCCTCCTTATCTCCTCCCTCTTATTCAAACAAGAAATAACAATAATAATGTTGAATGACTGAACCAAAATCAATGTCCGAATCCAACTACTGCAGGCACAACATGAGGTCCACCATAGCCATGGCCACCCTTCTTCTTCCTCTACATTCAGGCCGAGGCTATGGCGGACTATTGAGGCTTCAGCCTCCTGTCCAAAGGACAACCCAAAGCAGCTATGCCGCTGGCCCACTTCAGGGTCATCACCATGCAGCTATGCTGCTGCCCACTCAGCCACCATGCCTGACTCTGTCCCGAGCTTCCTTGATGTGGCACTACCCCAACGGGGGCATTCCTGATGCAGCGCCTAGCAAGGAGATGAAGATGGTGTCTAGCATACCCAGGTATGTGCCTCGCCACTCTCCTCCTTGGTCCCCTTCTCCCTCTTCCTCCTACCGGTAGAGCTCCACCATAGCCAAGGTGGAAGCTCCCGGCTTCTTCCTCCCAGCAGCGCGGTAGTACCCAGCACCACTTCAGCCAGCGCTCCAGCAGCGTGTCGCCAAACTTGCACACTGAAGAATGAGGCTGGGCTCTCCGCCCGGCCTCTTGATATAGCGGCCTACTTGCCTCCTGGGCGGTGACTTCCAGGCCGCTCGGCCTCCCCAAGCAACCGGTACTTCCTCCGTTTCGGAGGGAAACATCATTGCAGACCCTGATATTACCCGTACAGGCTCCAGACTCAGACTGGTTGGACTGGTACCGGCCTAGACCTACCCTACCGCTACTGGACCCTAAAAATGCCAACTTTGTCTTTTTCTGCTCGGCCTCCAGTACCACCTCACGGCAACTGCAGTGGGGTGCAGTTTTGGCCTACCTGCCTACTTGAGTGTTTTTCCGCTATCCCAAGGGCCGCGGGGCTGCTAGCTTCGTCACTTGAGTGTTTTTCCCTGCCACAAACCCTCAATGCCACGGCCACAGGTAAGTACCGGCCCTACGGGCCTGCCAAACAAGCAAGTACCCTTGCGGGTCACACACACACACTCATACCGATAAGCACTCAGACAGGCACGCAGGTCACAAGCACGCACACACAGACAGACTTAGAAAACACAGCGGAATGCCGGAATCTCAGCAATGCATCCATTCCATCAGCAGAGCTTCAGAAATCAGCAGTGTTCTCAGTCGGTGTTATGACGGGTCATTACATTCTCGTTTTTTGTTAATGAGTCGGTGGAATTTTTATTTATTTATTATTATTATTATTTTTTTCTTTCCAGCGCTATGTTCTTCTCTCAATTTCACCTCACACTACCTACCTGCCACTACTCCTCATTGTAGGCATACGGGGAATCCCGTAGCAGCATGAACCCCGTAGCAGCCAGAACCCTGTTCACGAGAGAACATGCGTGGACTGCTCCCGACCTGCAGGTGGGCGATACGGGCTAGGGGACAGCCGGTAGCATCAGTTCTTCTCTCAATTTCACCTCACACTACCTACCTACCACTACTCCTAATTGTAGGCATAGGGGGAACCCTGTAACAGCCAGAACTGTGTCCATGAGAGAACATGCGGGGGCTGCTCCCGACCTGCAGGTGGGCGATACCGGCAAGGGGACAGCCCGTAGCATCAGGGAACATGCCAACAGGACCAATCCCTGTGCCTCCCCTCAGGTGGTGGTCCCCTCCCCTACGAACATCAGCAGACTCGGCTCAATGCCTATAGGGGGATCCAGTGGTCTATCTCTAGGTGGCGGGTGCCAAGAATGCCCAGGAAGGTACATGAGGCCAGTGGGGATTGAACCCACGACCTCCTGAATGCCACTTGGGTGCCTTACCAACTGAGTTTGGCCGCTAGATTCGGTGGATTTTTTTTTTTTTTTTTTTTTGTGTGTGTCCGAGAAAGGTATTGATTCGGTGGAAATTGATTGTGTTTTCGGAGGTGTTTGGGGGGTCAAAAAAAGGAGGGAAAAAAAAACGGAAAAAACGAAAAAAAGAGGAAAAGAAGAAAGAAAAACTACACTGTTCGACTGCGTTGGCCAGTCGCACGATGTCGGAGGTGAAAAAAAAAAACAAAAACAAAAAAAAAAAACAATTCAGCACATCACACAGTGCGTCGAATTTCAAATTATTAAAATTACTGGGAGGGGCTGATAAGATGCAGATCACACAGTGCGGGGTAAGTCCGGCCTGTGATCTCTATAGCGAAACGGATTTCACGTCGGTTATTTGAGGAAGCGTAGAGTGGCAGCGGAGGTAGTCGGGGTGGGACGATAGAGCGCGTTCTTCCTTCCTTTTTTTTTTCGCCTTCGTTCGACTAGCAGGCGTTGGGACTCTCGAGAGACGCGACGAATTGAAGAAGAGAGATTCCCGAGAGGAGGAGGTTGCGGCGTCGGGCAGCTATGGCGGCTTCGTGTGGTGGCGGCGGCGGGAGGCGGGGCCTGTTCTCCACCCCTACGTTCTTGGTGGCTATGGTCGTCGTCCTCCTCTTTCAACAGCACGCCATGTCCGTCGATGCCTATGGTCTGGCCGATTTCCTCGCTGCGTACAACAACCCCAACGTGTCCTATCACGAGGTGAAGGCCGACATCGCTCTCAAGGCCTCCCTCCCTGCCATCGACAGAGCACTGACGCTGGTCGGCAAAGGCCCCAAGCCAAGCAAGCCTGTTGTCATCGACGGGAGCTCAAAGTTCGCGGGAATTGTCACTCAGGCGGACATCAAGCTCGTCAACCTGGAGTTCAGAAACTTCCGCTCCGCTAGTGGCGGCGCTCTCTCCGCCAGTCTGGCCAAGGCGTTCATCGACAAGTGCATTTTCCGCAACAACCGCGCCGGCGGGAACGGCGGCGCTCTCGACTTCTCCGACACGGGGATTACAGTCCGACGGTCGCAGTTCGTCGGCAATCGCGCGTCGGGATCGGGCGGGGCCATCTACACATTCACCGAGGACTACGGGCGCATCGAAGACTGCATCTTCGACGGCAATTCGGCGGGGAGTGGCGGCGCCTTGGCACTACGAAAGAACATCGGGATCTGGGTCCGGAAGTCCACGTTCCGCAGTAACAAAGCGAGCGATCAAGGTGGCGCCATCTACTTCAGCCGAGGGTTGGCGACATTGTCGGGCAACAAGTTCATCAACAACGTGGCGGGATCTTTTGGCGGCGCATATCGCTTTTACGGAGATGAGGAGGGGGTGCTCAGCATCTGCCGAGGCAATTCCTACTCGGGCAACAAGGCGAAACCCGCCACGTCGAACAACGTTTATCTTATGGTCGTCAGCTCCGACCCCAACTTTCCCAACGTGTTCTACTGCGGAGCATTGCCGCCGTCAACTCTGGTTAACGCCACAAATGGCGGCGTGGCGAACAATTGCAAAGACTGCTGAGCGTTACTGTTTTCTGTTTTCATTTCTTTTAGAAAGTTTAATGCCTATGTTCTTCTCTCCTGAAGTTCATCTTCCCCCGCCCCCCCCCTTTATCTCGTCATCCAACGGTAAAAAATGCGAGTTTCGTTTCCGAAGATGGCGGCATCCCTCTCTCTCTCTCCCTCTCTCTCTCTCTCTCTCTCTCTCTCTCTTTCTCTTTCTCTTTCCCTCGCTCTCTCTCTCTCTCCGTCCCTCCATCCCTGTCTCTCTCTGTGTCTCTCTTAGGTACTCTTTTCCTCCGGCTTCTCACTGAGCAGGCATGAAGACGAAATGTCGCCTCTGCTGACGGTCAGAAATGCGAGTTTTGTTCTTCGGCATCGCTCTCTCTCTCTCTCTCGCTCGCTTTCTCTCTCGCTTTCTCTTTCTCTTTCCATCCCTCTCTCTCTCTCTCTCGCTCCCTCCCTCCCTTTGTCTGTTTCTCTCTCTTGGGTACTCTTTACCTCTGGCTTCCCACTGAGTTCAGTCACGAAGATGAAATGTCGCCTCTGCTGCTGATCCAATTTGTAAGATTGTTTTCTGCTGAACCGTGAGAGAGCCGTTTTTCTTTAACCCCTTTTTAACCTAAATAAGAAAGAGAGAAGGAATCCGAGAAGAAGGAAAAAGAAGCGGAGGAATTGTGTGGTGCATCGATCATTACTACGTAGCCTTCGATTGGATAGCACTTTGAATCTGGTCCGTTCATTGGTGAAGACGGGAGGGGTCCTTGCAACCGCTCAGAGACATGGACAAATAAATGTGGCATTTGTACCTTCCCGCGTGGCGTGGCGGGAAAATCCTAGTGGCGGGAATTGCAATCAAGTACTGACTTTGGCGGGAATTGCATTAAAGTATATAGAAAAAAAAATTCGATTTGGAGGGTTTCTTTAAATGTCAATCTGAAGCTGTAATTGCTTCCTTTTTGATGCTTCATCAGCTTTCTCATTCGGTGGTTCCTTTTTCGGAAATATTCTGCAATAATGCACGCCTGATTTAAATGACCGAGTAGGAGCGCGCCAAAACTTGACACTGGAGGGAGGTGCCGTGCTCGAGTCCGAAAGATGCGGCATTTATTACTAGCCCCTCCCCCCTTGTTTTTCTTTCTTCTATTTAGGGGGAATAAAAAAAGATATATCATTATTCTGTTTAAATGCGATTTCGCCCTTACATCCCATGGAACTGTGCCCTCTCCAAAAATAAATAAATAATAATAATAAAATAAAAATGATGCCCTCCCTTCTCGTCAGTAAATGCAATTGACGTGGGTGATTTTAGATCGATCGTCCGCAGTCCTTAAGCTTTCTACCATTATTGATGAATTATTGAAATGCGGACGGCAATTAGTACATTTTGCTTCTTGTCCTCCTGCCTCTCCTTCTTTTCCTTCTTCTACTTCTCTCTTTTTCTTCTTCCTCCTCTCCCCTTTTCCTCTTCCTCTTTCTCTTCTCCCACGTCATCTGCTCCTGGGAGTTTTCTTGTTTTTTTCCCCCCCCTTCTTTTTTGAAAGGGCTACGGATTTCAGATATCAACTTATCACCATGCACGTGACTGGCCCTCGGTAAATCGGAATTGAATCTTCTAGGCTACCAGCCGGGCCGCCCGGGTCACCCTATTTTACCGTGCGGCCCGGCAGTGCAAGGACCAGGGAAGGTCCCAGCCAAAAAAAAGGTCCCAGCCAAAAAAACAAAAAATCCCGAAACATCCGAAAAAACATAATGTTTTGCAGAAAAATGAACTGAGCAACTTTTGCCTCAGGGATACATCGAAATTCTTTACCAAATTGAAAATAAAAATTAAATTCAAATATATATATATTATATTAATTTTATTCAATTTTATTTTTTTTTGGCCCGGCCGGGCAAGTGGACCCGAGCCACTCTGGTAGCCTAGGAATTGATAGTATTTTTTTCATATGCTTTCAGTGGAGTCCGAACTCACGTCGGCATTTCAACAGCTCAGTGGTGCACTAGCTGAGCTAGGCCAGTTGGTGGCGTTATCTTTTACTTGCTGTGAATTGTTGAATTGCAAACGGCCATCGCTACATTCTGTTTCTTTTTGTCCTTCTCCTGCTTCTCTTCGGGCTCCTTTTTGTTCTTCTTCTTCTTCTTCTTCTTTTCTCCTTTTCTTCTTTTCTCCTTTTCTTCTTTTCTCCTTTTCTTCTTTTCTC